TTGACCTCCGAGATTTGACCCGTGGTATCCTTGTGCTGGAACTCCACCAAGTTGGTTGTGGAGGAAGAAGGCGACCGCTCGGGAGTGGGGGCCTGGGAGTCCAAGTGTGGGGGGTCATAGGCGATGCTGGTCTCGGACCACTTCTCTTGGGCGACCTCACCGGCGATGTTTGCACCAGACAGGGCACCGCAATAAATGCCCAGGATTCTGCCAATGGTCTCCGAGAAGAGGTGGATACCTGTACTGTTGACGTCCACACCCTTGATGCAAGAGATGCCACGAGCGTAGGGGAGAATCTTGCCCTTGATTTGCTCGCAGGTCTTGATAATAAACTGATGGGGCAGGTTGAAGATGAGAATCGTGCTGTCCTTCACCGCATCCTCTAGGGACGGATTGGCGTGGAGGTTGACTGGCAACTGGATTCCTGGGAGGTACTTGACATTCTCATGGACCTTGTTGATCACCTCAGTCAATTTCTGAGGGCCGGCGAGTGAGGTATTATAGTTCTTAGAAGTCTTCGGAACCTCGACATTTTCCTCGAATACCCACATCTCCACCTTCTCCTCGAAGAGATTGGGGTTTCCGGCCGCGTTTTCGGCAACGATCTTAGCGATGGCGCAGCCCCTATCGAGGAAGCACACAATTAGCACAAATCCACAGCCCTTTTTGAAGACTAATCTCTTACCAGTTACCGGAGCCCACCACCGTGATCTTGTGCTTGCGCTGATGAGGAGCTGTAGAACCCATGATGCGTGTAGGAGAAATAATTGATCTGTGGGAAAGTGGTCTGGAGAAGGGTTTAAAAGGCAAAGAAGAGGCCGGCGGGGGCAAACGGGGTGAAATAATGAATCGGGTCTGGAACCGGGCTGACCGAGGTCGAAATAGGGCGATAGAGGTGTGAGGAACGCAGATCCGACGTAGGTTGAGACGAATATCCATACAAGTTATCGTTGGGACCCCGGTAATTCCAACCTGTTTCGGGATTATTGCCTTCTGATCACAAACTTCTGATGTCACACGCAAAGTCGACTTCGGAGATGGCAATTTAGCGCATAACTTTTTGTTTTCGCCTTTGACACACACATGAACTAATTAGTTGAGGAGAGAGCCAAACAGCGTTGAGTTCCTGGGAAAAGGAGTGGGGAGAGTGGATGCGGGCGGTGAACAATTGGAGTCGACGGGGTTTCGCTTTTCCCGTCGCAATTTCGTCTTTTCGTTAACTCCCCGCTGTAGATCTCACATGTCAACATGGTAAGATGCATTATTACTTATCTTGTTCCACTTTCAGCCGGTTAATTATCGTTCTATCTTCACAGGCCCCCATTCGCAAATCAATGACGAAAACTGCCTCGGGCAGAGGTGCGATAGCCAAACCTAGTGTCTTTGGTGACGAATTTCGCACGAGCAAGAGGGATAAGCGTCAGATCAAGCATGCTGCCCTCGTGTCTAAGATCGAGAAAAACTCTCAAAAGACCCCCAAGCGTCGACGAGCATCAAAAAAACTCGTCGCCAACCTCGAATCTTTGGCCGATGCCTTGCCCGAAGCTGAAGAATCCAACGATGCCGCCAGTCAAGTGAATGTCATCAAGCAGAAGACCCTGAGACACAAGCCAGGCGCCCTGAAGCGCCGGGAAAAAATGGAAAGATTGGAGCGCGACCGTTTCAACAAGAACCTGACCGAGATGTCCAACATCACATCAGCTCCGGCTGCCAACAATGGCGAGGCGAGTACCGAGTCAAACCCGACGGCCAGTCGGTGGTCGGCGCTCCGTAACTTCATCTCACAGACGATGGAACAGCAGCCTGTGTTCAAGACGAATAAATAAGGGTGGCTAGGATGAAAATAAAAAGATTCTCGGTGATTGAACCACGACTCCGGTTGCTGCTGCTGGCAGTGAATATCTGTCTAACAAGTGAATTCTGGCAATGACAATCTAAGGACAATGCTAAAGGTTGAGTTTAGGCAAATAAACTGGAGTGTACGACGCTCAACCAAAACACGATCGGACCACTTGCTTCTATAGGATCTGAACGGTGAAATCTACGGTCCCAAGAAGGTTTTGCGGTTCAAGCTCCTATATCCCTGGGGGCATTCAACGCCTTCTGGGGCCACGGACGCCATCGAACAGCCCTCGATATTAGAGACCAATAATCAAATACCCATGTATTTATCTTACTAAATTACTGTCTTTCCACTCGCATGAATCAGAATCAAATTTCCAACAGCTGAAATATTGAAAGCTATGGTTTGAACTAACCAGCTTATGTTATCAAGCACAATTCCATCCATAGTTACCACCCACACCGTTTGTTCAAGGGACGTGCCGTAATTCGTCACCGGTACAAGAGTTATCTCCCAATCTTAATATAGTAAATTATGGATCAGTTGCCCGGGGGTTGCTCTTCTAGTAATAGGACCTTCAAGATTACATGAAGCATACAACATATCTTAGGCTTCGAGCATCAAATAAAGCAATCGCTCTATCGGCATACTCGATACATCGTTATTGTCTTTGAATTTACCTGCCGGTCCACCCGGCATCTTCATCGGCCCGATGACTCATCAGATAAGATCACCTGCGGGGAAGGCTAACTATCCGGTATCTAATCCATCGCTCTCCAATTCTCCCGAGATCCTTCCCTTACCTTGTGACTTTAAGGTTCTCTATCCACTTCTTATAAACCGCCTGTGATCCACTGGCGCCCAGCAATGCTGTGGCGGCACTTACATCCTCGCCTCGCGGCGACCTTGGCTCGTCGTGACATTGTCCGGTGTCGGCTTCCTCAATCATACAGCCGGTCAACACGCCAACTGTCTAGCTCCAACACATTTCCCACATCGTCTCAATTTAACCGGTCAGAATTTACAACACAACCATTTACTGGGAGCTACGAGACTGGAGGTCCTACTCCGGGGCCATTAGGATCGACCCCGGCCTTCGGCGCTCCCCGCATCACACCGAAAGTCTTAAAGCAATATCTTGATCAATATGTGGTCGGTCAGGATCGTGCAAAGAAAGTGCTCAGTGTCGCCGTGTATAATCACTACCAGCGCGTGCAAGAGTTAGTGCGCCGGGAGGAAGAAGCAGCCGAGGCTCTCGCAAGGCGTCAGCGGAGGGAAGCACTCGAGATTCATCCCTTAGACGGTATATCACCTATTGAGTTTTGTGTTATCGCTCATTTTCTGATTGATTCTTCGATACAGCAGATGACATTGCAGGCGTGCGCAAGACTGCTACAATACCTCAAGCCCCCAAATCCCGCCCAGACACCCCCTTGGACCAAGCAGATTTCGCCGATACGTCGCCGCTACAGCTTGAAAAGTCCAATATTTTGTTGCTTGGTCCATCTGGTGTAGGAAAGACACTTATGGCAAAGACTCTCGCTCGGGTGCTTTCTGTGCCTTTCAGCATCTCCGACTGCACTGTGTTCACACAAGCCGGTTACATCGGAGAGGACGCCGAAGTGTGTGTTCACCGACTTTTGGCAGCTGCAGACTACAACGTTGAGCAAGCAGAGCGTGGGATTATTGTTCTTGACGAGGTGGACAAAATTGCAGCTGCAAAGGTCAGTCATGGCAAAGATGTCGGTGGCGAAGGAGTACAGCAGGCGCTTCTCAAGATCATTGAAGGCACAACCGTGCAGGTCCAGGCTAAGCCAGAGAAGAATCCCCGCGCAACGAATGCCCCGAATAGCTATCCCTCCAACAGTCCTCTGGGGAATGGGTCATTTCAACCCAACAACCCCAACCCAGCCGCCAAGGGAGAAGTGTACAATGTGCGCACGGACAACATTTTGTTCGTGTTCTCTGGCGCGTTCGTTGGACTGCACAAAGCCATCATGGACCGAATATCCCGTGGATCCATAGGGTTTGGTCAACCAGTTCGGACCACCTCAAACACTAATGATTTCCCTGGCTCGCCAAATATCTCTACCAACCAGCCACTTCCAATCCTTCCGGGATCTGAGGAAGAAGCACTATACAAGAAGCACCTCCCCTTCTTCTCCTCTACATCGCCAGCCGGTTCTGGCGCCGAGCCAACCTATTTCAACGCACTCGACCTGTTAACACCCTCAGACTTGCAAAGCTACGGCTTCATCCCAGAGCTGATCGGCAGAATTCCCGTTACCGCCGCTCTCTCTGCACTGTCTCAATCCTTACTTATGCGCATCCTAACCGAACCCCGCAACTCCCTTCTAGCCCAATACACGACCCTATTCTCCCTCTCGGGTATCGAGCTGCGCTTCACCACACCGGCACTCCACAAAGTCGCCGGCAATGCCTTCACAATGGGCACCGGTGCACGCGCGCTGCGAACTGAGATGGAGACCATTCTCAGTGACGCTATGTTCGAAGCGCCCGGCTCGAGTGTGAAATTCGTCCTCGTGACCGAGGCCGTGGCAGACCGTAAGGAACAGCCCATCTACCTTGCCCGTGGACAGGGCGGTCGTTTCCATGCTTTAATTTCCGCCGAGGAAAGTCAGTGGGAAGCAAAGACTCGCGGAGAAAAGAAAGACCAGGATCAAAAGAGTAAAACGCAAGATGATGCGGATGGCTCCAATGCGTCGAACTCCCAGGACCAGAATCGAGCAACTGGTTAAGTGTAAATAAATGGTATGCTTTCATCTCACCCCCCGGTGACTATGTATTTATACATTTCCGGGTGTTTTTTCTTCGTATCCCAGTTGCATTGGCGGCAATTAGCGTGCAGTTCAGCAAAGCAATACCTTTAGAAGCTCCATACGTTCGTACGATAGGTCTTTCATTACTGATCGAACGTTGGATCTCAATTTTGAATGGAATTACTATATATGAGTACAAGTCTCCTATGAAACTTTTCACAAAAGTTTGGGTTCATTTCATGGCCTCATGGCTTTCTAGGCATAGTACAACAAGAATAAAGCAACCGGGGTATCATAAAAGATTGTACAAGAAGAGAATATGAGAGCAACCATGCGGATGTTTGGAGTACCCTGCTTTGATCGGAACTTGACAAGAATCACTTGTAGGGAGCAGGGTACTTTTTCGTGCCATTGCCGTTGCTGCCTGTGAGGGTCGATTGAATAGAGGCGTTGGAGTTGTGAGATGTCCAATTCGGCGTCTGGGGTGTGCTCATGGCCACCGGGGTAGTTGCTTGGCTAGAAGGCTGCAGCTTGGGACCCGACAGGTAGGCCATGAGGGTCAATGAATCTATTTTGAACCGTTTAAAGAAATGGCCGAAACCACCTCGCATGACAGTCATATGACCCCACTTGTCCCATCGTGCCCCAGTGGGAGCACTGAGTGATGTGACAGCGACGAAGTTGCGGAAGCGTGGTATGTTAATCAATGACCACCCTGCGAAGAATTCTATCAGATGATCTGCATCGCGTTCAACTTTGTCCTTGATTCTGAGGTCGTGGTGCTCTGTGCGAGTACCGTATTCATCCAGAGAGGGTGCGATAACGTTGCTTCTTGAGTTGTGATGTAGACTGGCTTTATCAAACAAAGCTGCGCGAGGATCCGTAACGTTGTTCTTGATGATCAACGTGTAGATGAGCAGCAGGCTACATTCAGGTTAGTTAGAAGCTTGAGCTAAACAACGGTAGAAAGGTATGACATACAGTCCATGATCTTGCGAGTGATTTTCGTTACCGAGTCTCATTTCGATCCATTCAAGTATCCTGGGGGGGAACATTAACGTCCAAGATTTCCGTTTGTGCTTATTTGCATTCCGAATCCATTGCAGAGTGACCGCCACCCCTTTTAGGTCTGTCAACACATCTTCAGTGAGAAGTATGACACCGCCATACGGAAAGATACGTAGACGGTGGTCACTAGGTGAACAATACCGGGGATCAACTAATTCGAGTGGTCTCTGAATGCGAACCATCCAGAAATTGAACGAGTGGGCAGGAAGCACAGAATTGAGAGGAGGCTGCAAAGTATCGTATCCAACGAATGATTCGTGAAACTGCTCTTGATTAGTTGTCTGACAATTGTGAACGTGTAAAAATATCGATCACATACTATGGCTACACCCTGTCTGCTGTTGTGCACAAATTTTGCCCAATCTCCAGGGCTGTTGCTTGTGAAAAGAATCTTCTCATGGTACTTCAAGTGTACCTGAAGAAGCTGCAGTTCCTTTTGTATTTCTTCATTGCCTAGGGGAAAGTGCAAATAGAAAATATCTGCCTTTGATAGTTTCCCACCTTCCTCGATTGTCGCAAGTTCTTCCACATTGATTTTGTGGGCTTTCATGAAATCTTCAACCGCTTGAACCGCTCGAGCGGCTTGGTCATCTTGTGGGTGAGGGATAGCGCACATTGAATTATCCTTGAGTTCACTTGCGGGCGGAAGGCTTTGGGGCAGCGCTGGGGCCAGCGTCTCCCGCGAGTGCACGGATCCACTCATTGTTATATCACGGTGGAAGTCCGACCGTCTTGGGGGACTGCCAGACTCTAGGCCATCATCCCTAGGCGCCTTGACGCGCAGTGAAAGCGATGTATTTGGCAAAAAGCCATGCGGTCTTTCGTGAGGCTGGTCAGGTCCATTTGACCAGAGAACTTCGATCGGTGCGAGCATAGTGCGAGCGGCAACGAGTAGAGGAATGCCAGGTGGCACTTCATCATCAGGATGTGGAAACTTGAATTCCTGTGACCCGTATGACCAAGAAACCAATACAATTGCCGGTCCGTTTCCGTTTCTTCTCCTCGGAGGATAGTGGATGGCAATGAGGTCGTCCTTTCGCAGATTCTCTGCTAGATGAAACAAATTTTCGTTGGTGTCGCTGAAGCCCTCGACCCAACCTGTACTCAATACAGAATTTGTCGCCTATAGCCAATGTTAGCATTATATAAGGGACAATATACAGATCTGGTACTGACACTAGATTCGCACAGTCTCTCGTACTCCCCGACTGTGCATAGGTGTCTAAACCAAACTTCAACCTGCTTTGTTTTCGGGTTCTTGGTCATGACTAGAGATTTCTGGATATCCGTACGGATGCCGCATAATCTGAAAGCACCGAGGAATTTCCGGTCGGGTCCCATAAACATGTTAACAAGAGCGTCTCCCTTGACGCACCAGTATTTACCAATCTTAATGCAAGTGGACGGCCGATAAGCACGAACCGGCATCCTTGGAGCCAATGGAGCGATGGAAAGACCGGGTTGAGCTGGTGGTCTAGCTTTGGGCCCGGTGGGAATCAATGGAGCGATGGAAAGACTAGGTTGAGCCGATGGTCTAGCTTTGGGCCCGGTGGGAACCAATGCTGGAGCATTGACTGATGGATTTTCATCTAACTCAGTTGAGTTTGAAGATTTTGACGCAAGCCGATAATGACTCGGAGACGGGCTACGAGGCGTGTAATTATCACCCATACTACGGAGGGAAGACCTTGACGGCCAACCGGGGGGCGGTGACCGTGATCGCCGATAAGGTGGTGATGGTGACCTGCGAGATGGTGACCGTGACCATCGAGAGCGCGATGACCGTGATCGCCGATAGGGTGGTGACCGTGACCACCGAGAGCGCGGTGACCGTGACCTGCGAGATAGTGGTGACCGTGGCCGTCGATAGGGCGGTGACCGTGATCGCCGATAGGGTGGTGACCGTGACCACCGAGAGCGCGGTGACCGTGACCTGCGAGATAGTGGTGACCGTGGCCGTCGATAGGGCGGTGACCATCGAGAGGGCGATGACCGACGAGAGAGCTCTGACGCTCGATAGGTATCAGCCACTATTGTGGTATTAGGCTGCCTGGGGGAGTTCGATCTATATTGTTGGACTGTCTCGCGGCTGTCCTGCGAGTCTCGATTCTCAGTAACCCTCTCGAGATTGACCATTGCACGGGGCTTAGTTGGAATGGCTGGCGAGATAACAGTAAGACTGGAACCCGAGAGTCCAGCGTCTTTCACTGAATTACCTTCTGCACGGCCCCCAGATAGAATGACCGGAGGGAGGACCGAGCCAGTCGAAGCCGGAGGACAGGTAGATGTGTTGATATTGGCCTGTGGTGAGGGACGGGGAGCTAGTGAGGGCGCAGTAAGGGCGGAGGTTGACCGCCCGACAGGATTCGTCAAAGGAGCCTCACCTGGCGACGAGGAAGTAGAGGCAATAGAATCTACAGAACCGGGATAGGTGAGGTTGGTCTGCGGAATGGGCTTTGACTGAGTAGATGGCGGAAGGGAATCTAGAGAACCAATAGGTCTCTCTGGATCTAAGCCAGACGACGAAACCGACCCAGTGGAGCCTAAGTTTGAAGAGCGAGACACTGGAGGAGCCATGGCTGACGAGTGTGCGAGAAGAACATGTTTCTGTGGCTGCTTTGCAGCTTTATCGTCTATTTGGCCAGTATGTGTCTTTAGTAGACCGGTCAAACCGACTGAATTCTCAGAAGCAGATTGATTTTGGGCTTCCAGGGATTTGGGACTTGTTACAGATGGGCCAACCACTGAGATGGTGCTGCCTATGTTCATCCTTGGTGGAAATTCAGAAGGCTTCATCAGCTCCATCTGTGACAAATCCGGTGGTCGTTCGCCCCATTTCTTATCACGGTATGCGCGCTTGGCACCTGGGCCTGTGGCGAAAGAAGACAATATTGGCTTTGCTGCTTGTGGGGGGCTTTTCTGGCGCGCCGGGAGTTTGTACTTGGCAGTAATTCTTTTCGCAAGCTGGGAAAGTCGCGAGTTTGGAAGCTTGCTTGAGGTTGTTTCTGTCTGTGCAATGGAGGTTCTTGGTTTTGGAGGCTCGTTCCTAGGTGTTGTCCCAGTAGGAGGTGCTGTTTGTAGCAGCGATTGACGAGCCACTTTTTTTGATGGTGGTGGGGTTTCAGCTGGAACAAACAAGGCCGAAGAAGCGGTGGAATCCACGGATAGGCGATTGGGAGCTCCGTGAGACGAAATAGGTGGTTCGGGCTCATGGGCATCTATGATATCGGGATTGGCCAGTCGAGATGATTCAGCTTGAGGGAGGCTTTTCTGCCGTGCCCTTTGCTCTCGTTTGCGCCTTCGCTCTTCTTTTCGCTTTTCTGTTTTCTTCTCCAACAACTTCATATGCTTCTCCCACGACTTGAGATTGAAGGGAGTCACCTTGCCCTCCGCGATTTGCTTCTTTTTCTCTTCCCAGCCATCTAGGGTCTCTTCCGAAGTAAACATTTCCTTCGGCTCCCAACTGCATCTGTCCATGCTGTACCCAGCCCACTCAACCAAATACTGAGTAATAAAGATTCCTTCGTCATCCTCAGAATCTGGTTCTACGTAGAACCTCCGTTCCGCATGGATGTCATTCACGAAATACTCCGCTTCCTCTTCACTTTGGGCGGTAGACGCCAGAGAGTCGGCATCACCAACTCCAGAGGCATCATTCATCTCAGAATCAGATGCCATGGTAGTAGCCTAGAAATCGAGTCAACAAATGCTTCATTGTGCAGCGTCCAACGCCCCATGCCAAATGTGCAAGCAAGACAGTACTTGGGCTGAAACTTTGAGTTGCAGGGCTTCGGGGAGAGCGAATGCGTACCGTATTTCATATTCATTGGATCTGATGAAGATAGAGGGATAATCCCACAGAGACAATAGCAGAAGTAAAAGTAAGGCGAGCAAGAGTCAGAACAAGAAAGTTGATAAGTTACTGCCCATTGATAAAGGATACCGCCCGCGCGCCAAACGCCAACCCACGTGATCTCCACACTAATCCACAATGGGTGGACACGATTAAGGAGAGACACTCGGCCCAGGTATCACTGACTATCCCCTGCTGATTCTCTATTACTTCCCGTGTGTTCGCTCCCCTTGTTTTCTTTCTGCCTGCTGCGAAATCAATACTGACGTATCTGACTTTCACCCTCTCAAGGCCACAAGTACACATCTCAGTCTTCACTCGCCCGCCACGTTTACCTGTACTTTGATACTACCTTTCGAGCTTTACTAGCTCGATCACATTCAAAATGGCCAACGACGAATATGACGTGAGTTGATTTGCGACCACGAGTTCCTCCATGTCTCAGAACTATATGCTGATGATGATATCCTCTACAGTTCCTCTTCAAAGGTAACCTCGCCACTTTACGCTGAGGCCCGCCCTCGTCTTATCCCACCATCCCCCCTTTGCCCCATTTCAAAAGATCCTTAGACTGACTGCGGAGGTATTGTGGAGTGAATAGTGGTGCTTATTGGAGACTCTGGTGTTGGTAAATCCAACCTCTTGAGTCGTTTCACCCGCAACGAATTCAACCTAGACTCCAAGTCAACGATCGGTGTGGAGTTCGCGACCCGGTCCATTCAAGTCGACTCGAAGACAATCAAGGCACAAATTTGGGATACCGCTGGTCAGGAGCGCTACCGTGCGATTACTTCTGCCTACTACCGTGGCGCTGTCGGCGCCCTCCTCGTTTACGATATTAGCAAGCACCAGACCTACGAGAATGTCAACCGCTGGTTGAAGGAGCTACGTGACCACGCCGATTCGAACATTGTCATCATGCTCGTTGGTAACAAGAGCGATTTGCGCCACCTGCGCGCGGTCCCAACAGAGGAGGCCAAGCAATTCGCAAGTACGTTTCCCGGAAATCACTTTCTTTGTGTGGCGCTGACATTCAGTAGGCGAGAACAATCTTTCATTCATCGAGACTTCCGCGCTTGATGCCAGCAATGTTGAGCTAGCTTTCCAGAATATCCTTACAGGTTGGTTGTCGATTCCTTGGAATAAAGTATAACATGCTAATTCGACAGAAATCTACCGCATCGTTTCTAGCAAGGCTCTCGACTCCGGAGAGGGTGGCCAGCAGGTCCTCGACCGCCGTCCCGTTATCGACCCCAGCAAGCAAGACAGCGAGCAGAAGCCGGGCTGCTGCTAGATTACCCTTCGCAAGGACGAAACAGCGACTGCCATGACTCTTCTTTTGCGATGTGACATTGAGATGGTCTTGATCTGTATCTGTGTTGGAGTCTGAAATTTGACTGCTACAAAGATGATACACAGGCGGGATCTGTTAGAGAAACCCCACGGGAAGATAGGGGTCTACCCAAATCGATGTTACCGGCTGCTGGATTCCCCTTCTTCAGTCCTTTTTTTTTTGCTCGTTTTCCCAGTGATCCTCAACGAAATTGATCCCCTTTTTTTCTGTTCGCTTGATATGTTTCTACGATGGTGAACACAGCTTGGCTGGGCGTCTAACATTGCGGCTGCGTGGCTTTTGTATGGAAATTCTCAAATTCGTATATTCATTCCACCCATTTTAGTGTAATTGTACAATGTTGTAGTCATGCAATACCAACAACCTTCGAAGAGAACAGTGGCGATGCCCGTCATTACGGTTCACGTGCTCCACAGGGCAATTTACCTCTCCGGGCCAGTGTCCACTACAAGACGGACAACGTTCGCTAGAAGAGGTATTATTTATGATTTACAACGAGGGGCTTCATGTATTTCGAATATTTCCTGGAGTTCTGCAAAGAAAAATCAAAGCCTTCGCACACGTATGTATTTCGATAATTTCAAAAAGTCGACAAACAAATCTAGTTTAGGATAATGCCCATGTCACGACCAGCCACTGCAGATCTAAATTCTCCAAGCTCGAGCCCACGTTCATTCATGACATATTCCAGGGTGTCACCAAACGTTTCACCGTTGTTGCGGAACCATTCCCCTAGGGACCAGACGTACTCCTCTACTTGTTCCTTCAGCAAAGCATGGTCGCGCAACCATAATATCTGACCAGGATCGAGCTTCAGCATGTCCTGCATAATATAGTAATGTGGGATCTCGTCACCCCAACCTTCATACCCCGGATCATGAGAAAGATCATTGCGAAACCGAGACCTAAATTTGGCTGGCGACTCGGCATAATTTCTTGGGTGAGCCGTGTGGAAGAATTGTTGAATCGAGGTATCAGGGCCATTCTGAAGCAAGGAGTGACCATGGGAGGACATAGAAGTAGTTGAAAGCGGTGGATAATTGAGATGGATATTGAACGAGAGTTGCTGGCTGCTGTCTGGATAACGCTTGCGGAATTTGCGTTGGATAGTCCCATTACTAGGACATATGTGATTCTGAACAATATCACCCATGACGAGGCGCAAATCCTCAATCTCGGCCAGCTCTTGGGTGGACCAGTTGTGGAGCAACTGAGCGCGCTCCAATATCACATGGCGAAGACTACGAGAATGGCGATCATAAACACCAGAATGGAATGCACTGTGATACAGCCATAACCGGTATACTGCGCGGCGTAGGCGTAATCGCTCTTCGTCAGTGAGCGAGCGACGATTCTCGAAGTCTAGCTTCCATTTCTTGAACGGGTAGATCGTCTCCCATTTTCGTGCCACCAGACCGAGCTGAATGACTTGTTTCAGAAGGGAATCAGACATCGGCGCATGTCGGATAAGATGAGCGGCCTGGCTCTCGTTTTGCGTCACCACTTGAATGACATCGTCAAGGGGACCATATTCGGTCTCCGCGACACTGGCTAGGATATACAGTTTGCTTGTTGAGTTGAGGATGCGGTGAAGTCGATGGCAGGTGATTGATAAATTCAAGACATCGGAGATTGAGTCGCATGAGCGAAATATGTGGAGTAGAAGCTCCGTCGCAAGATGATCGATTCGCATAATGGAAATATGGTATGTAGTTTCTGTAAAGAAGAATACCGTTAGAGTGACTCATAGTTAAAGGGTCAATAAGTGATCATATACCTGCTCAGGGGTTGTTATTTGTAGTTACCAGGTAATTTGAAAGAAGATAGATGGTCAATCTTCGAGGATTTATGTATGAATCAAATTTAAGTCACGAATTGATGCGATCAACACTCGTGTACTTGTCGCGCGTACGGTGGGTGGGCCTATTGGATATAGACCCCGCCGTTGGGGCTAACAGGAGGAAGAGACAGCGTGGGATCAAGAGTAAACATATTGGAAGAGCAAGCTCCTTGTAGCCATGTAGGGCTAACCACCAAAAATGATGCCATGATAGATGGTATCAGGAGGCAAAGAGAGATTGGGCTGGGCAATGGCGAGGGAATGCTTTATATGACGCTTAGCTAATGTTGCCCCTTGCGTTCTTCAACCAACCTGCCTTCCAGTTATTCTGAAGAAAAAGCTCTCTAGACAGTAATGAAACAACCCAAAACGAGGAACAGATAAAAATAATCAACTTTTGAAATTAACCAGGATGAGACTTTGCCCCGACGCCTTAACGGACCATGATGAAAAGCGTCGCATCAAATATACACATGTAGTCGAAACATCATCCCGAGGGATATCAAGTCTAGAAATAGCACGACGAAACAAAAAAACAACCCCCCTATGCAAACAGCTTCCTTGTGTCCAACGCATCCACCTTCCGCACAGAGTTCTCGGACAGTCCTAGATCGGAGCGCTTGGCCACCCGATCAGTCTGGCCGTCTCGGCGCTGGGAGTAACGGCCAGCCTTGCCCTGTCGGATGTCGCTACGGACTTGGTTGGGGCTGACGTACTCCTTGTTCTCGTAGATGACGGGTCCACCAAAGCTGCCTTCGAGAATCACAATGGGGGTCAGAACGAACCGGGGGCCAATCTCGACTAGAGAAACCTCGGGCAGGGCGTTGTCCTTGCTCTTCGGTACAGGCTTGATAGTCTCTTCCCCGTCCTTTTTCTTGCCAGCCTCAGACTCGCGGATCTCATAGACGCGAATCCAGATCTTGCCGTCCACTCCAAAGATACCAATGATGCGGTCGACGAATGGCTTCATGCCTCTGACACCGCGTTTGGGCACACAGAAGACTCCGCGCAGCATCTCCCGAACAAGCGCACGGTATTCGCTACCGGGAGCGCCCATATCTGGACCTTGCTCGTCGAAGGAGCGATCAAACACGACCAAGCCGCGGCCGCCCTTCAAGCAATTCCCTGCAAATCCAGCGCCGAGCTCGCCCATTGTGTGCAAGTTGTTGAGGTGGAACTTAATAGTGGGACCATTAGGAGGGCGTGAAAGCCAGAGATAAAGATCCTGGCCGTTCTTCTTGGCCTCGAGGAAGAAGATAACGTTGCACGAATGCAGGTCGGCAAGAGAGTTCAGGAGGAGGTTGTATCCAGCGGCCTTCTTTTTCGTGTCGAGCTTAGTTTCTTTGTGCGCATGAGGGAGGAGGCCGCAGATATCGGACATGAGGTGTCGGTGGCTAGAGAAAAAAAAAAACAAATTATCAGATCAGTAAATCCTTCTAGTATATCTCAAGGCGCAATATTCATACCGGTAAGAAGCGCCTCTGGAGGTCAAGATAAGTACCCGGGTCTTGGGCATAAATCCAGAAGCAAGCTGTTTCTTCACAACCTCAGCTGCCTCACCATCGTCGGACTCTTCCTCTTCGCTATCGGTGGTGTCGTCTTCCGCATCGAGGAGCTCCTCCATCTGGATGTCCTCGTCGGACATATCCTCAGTGGGCTGTCTAGCCGCCTTCTTTGAGACACTCTTGTAGACTGATGCCATGGTGACTGTTGATTGTGTCAAAAAATGGAATTGAAATTGATCGTGCAAAAGAAGGCCGAGATCAAAAAGTTGATGGCAGAATATTTTTTGTTTACACCGCCCTGAACCTTGCTATGTCACGTGCCATGTGGGCTACCAATTTATTTGCCGTTGCTTACCGCCCTGTTTTCCTGCCAAACATTCATCTGGGGTTTACTCCGTATAATTCGGTGACGGTGAATTACGCAAAATGGTTTAGCGTGCCGTTTCGGGTTTAGCGCTTCCCTGCGCGTTACTATCGCCGTGCGTGTTTCTATAAAGCCCTGTTCGTCGCCGCTTCAACTTTTAGTTGTTTTTCGCCCTTCTACTCTTCCTGTCTCTCCGTTCCTCGTATGCGCCTTGCGAGTGAGGCATTTTTGCCATTGATCCGGATCACCGAGCTCCGCTACCCCCTAAATCGCCAGCGTGAACTAGCCTCCTCTTTGCAGCCCTCCGAGTCATCTGCATTGTTTTCCCTTGCCCTTGGTCTATTTCCGCTTATCTGCTACTATTAAGCCCGAGATAAGGTATATTCGCCCTTAGTCTGTCGCGCCGATCTATTTTTCCCACTCCTAACCCCTGAATATCAATCGGCCGGCTGTCTGACCCCTACTATAGCGTACCCGGCGCGTTTACCCTACTATGTTTCAAGAGGAGTAAGTCTTTCACCTCATTCTGTGTAGATTCTTGCTGAGCCTAACCACGTATCATCAGCCAGGCTCAGCGGTTTTCCCTTTCGACAACGCCGCTGCTTGGCTTTGACCAGAAGACGTTGCATTTTCCTGGGCTGTGCTTAGTATAGTAGTACTCGTACAGGTTCATGCGGTCAGCGGGTATTTGTTGGTGGCTAAACTCGAGGGTGCGCACTATTTCCGTACAACCCATCGCGGTGTAGTGTTATTAACTGGTCCCTGATTCAACGCATCACACCCTAGATGGAAGAGACACTGCCTGATAGAGACAACAGGGGGATTTGTCGCGCGCCTGTCGTATGTGGTAGACGATTGGATCACCGGAGAATACTCGACCTTCCATATGCCTTGGTTATTAACGAGCTGTCTTAAGAAGATCGTCTCTTTGTAGTTGCTGAGAAATCCATACACACAGCCTAGCTTCTGCATGTACTTGATTGGCTGAGCGAGTATGTTCCTTAGCTCGTCGTCGTCGTCGAGCTTATCGTCCAGGAAGTGCTCGCGAACCCACGGAACCTTGAGCTCCCCAATGACCTTCAAAACGTGATTATCATCCTTCAAAATCACATCAGGCGTGCCCGTGTAAGTAGACTGTACGCATTTGAAATCTGCAAAGCGTATTCCCTTTGACTGTGATGTGAAGATAGTGTTAAGCACGTCGCCGAAGTATTTGTGGAACCGGCCTTGGACACCATGTTCGTCCCCAACCTCGACGTTTCCGTAAGTATAGGGGTCTCGTGTCTGAAGTGTCAGGCCTAGGACCTCATTGCGCCAGGTATGGTTCTGGTGTGTGGTCTGCACAGCACTCAAAAAGCCCAGCCATGGCTGAAGGTCACCAGTAAACTCAAGATCGTGTAGGGCGCTTGATTGTGTATGGTATAGACCGGGTTCGAGCTTAGGCGCCGGGGACTCGACTAACTTCTTCGGGCCGATATGAAGCGCGGGACGAGGCATTTCGAGAGATTTTTTTTCTTGACGATGAAGGCTATTAGCAACATCCTGAGTGAGCAGGCTTTACGAACACAGATTAAAGAGAGTGCGTACGGAGTAACGAGTGAGCAGTGAGAGCTTAGCTTGAAGGCTAAGAGCAGGGCTATGTCAAGCAGGGAGAGAGTGAAGACGATGTAGGAGGTCGGTATCAGTCAGTTGGGACATATGTTGACTAAGTAGGAAGGAGCGCGTATCTCAGCACGAGGCCACGTAGGACACGACCCTAACGAGGCACCTCACTAGTTAAATAAAACCCATATCACGATGAAATGAGTTAGGTAATGAACCCGAAAGGGTCAATATGGTTAGAAATTTCCCCTTGACTTAACGCTATCTGCATCTGTATCTTAGTCGCCATTACTCTAGCTACTAGAATGCTCTCTTATGTAAAATCCTCTTTTCATTTCAAGAATCTATACGCAACATCACCGTTTCAAAGCCAGTCGAGGACTTCGCTTTCCCAGACATTAGCAGGCTAGATTAATACAACATGAGCGAGAAGCATCCATCCTTCAGCCTGATCGTAGAATCCTCGCACACCGAAGAACTCTTTCACTCAAGTTTTGACAAGTCAAGCTTGCTTCTTCTTATCATTCTCCGAGCCTTTGCCCTTCTGCATGGAGGAACGTCGGTTTGCAGATGCTTCCCCGGCCTCACGCACAATCTCCGTGACGGTCTTGATGGCGTCGGTGGCCCCGATGATATTGGTGGCTTTCTTCGGGGGAGTCTGAGCCGCCTCAGGCTGATCGAGCAAATTAGTTTCAATCTTATTAGGACGGATAGAAGTCGGCTTGCCTTGTAATCGCCATAGATATGGCCGTTGGTCAGATTGTGTGCTTTCTTTAGCTTGGCATACTTCTTCTGAAACGACTTTCCACTAGCGTAGCCAAAATCCTTGGCTACGCGGGCGAGATTGACCTGTGGCTAAAGTTTTAGTATGTCGACTGTGGGTTCAACTGAAAGTTTCACTGAAGTTGTCGATGTATCGTACATTGTTGGTTTCCTTGTCGGTATGTTTCTTGATCGAGTCTAGATACTCTTCATCCGGAGGGTTGTTCTTGTAAGAAGGCATTATTTCGGCAATCTCGGAAGGAAGTCCACAAACTCCTTCAATGAGGGTAGATATGAAGATAAATCGAATTCCCAATTGCAAGAAAAATGACGAAGAGGAAAAAGTCACCCCAGGAGACGGTTAAATACATTATTCACGTTATTCACGTTAGCATCGATTAATCAGCGACTGGTTTCCCTTAGTATATTCTTTTGGCAATCTAGCAGTGACATAATACAAGGTTAGTCGCGTTAGTGCACGTTGATGACCTGCATTATACCTTTAACCTAAGGTCCAGGCTTGGCTTCTCAGCCTTCTCTTATGGAAAATTCCCTAAAAAGGAGACCTCCCTTGAAATATCGCTCAAGACTCTATCACAGATTGGTCTATGAATACACGCCGAAAGAAAGATGAGCATCTGCTTTCTGAGAAACTCTACACAATACTATGTTTAGCTTTGGCAAGTGAGAGAGAGCACAAGACTAAATCAGCATAGTTGGTAGTAATAACGAGAGTACTAGCTAATGAACATATGAACGAGGCCCTTCTAGTCTCCAACATAATCATTCTAGATTCTTTTCAACTTTGACAACAACATGACCATCTTCCTGATTTCCTGTGCTCGGCATTTCCTCCTCGGTCTGTTTTTGTCCTTCTTCGGCTTTCATAGTCGGGCCTTCCTGGCGAGAACGAGAGCGTGGTTCCCAGCTGATGGCTGGAGCAGAACTGGTGAAAGGGTTCATTTGGTCAAAGTCCCGCAAATCAAACCCAGATTGAGTGCCTGGTGATGAAAAAGGATAGCCAGTTGACATTGTCGGGAACTGGTATGGATTTTGCATGAAGGACGATGATCTTGCGGGGCTAGGTGATGGTATCGCCGGTGGTATGCTTGACGCCAGCTGGAACTGCATCGAGGCAAAATCCTGAGGAAAGTAATACTGTCCTTCGGCGCTAGCCTCCAACATCAACTGCGGAGATTGTTGCATAAAGCTCTGTAGGCTCGCATTACCCTGAATGCCAGGCTCGCATTTTACAAAGGGATTGCCAGGAAGAGAAGAATCAATCGATTCCATGGTGGGCATCATGAGCGGCGGAGCCATTGGAAATATGCCTTGCATCTCAGCAGGGGGATCCATGGTCTTTCCCTTCTTGCTCTTTCGCTTTGGCTTGCTTGCCCCTGTGTTTCCTTCCATCTGCTGTCGGAAGCGGGAATACCGCATACGAGCGGCATGACCATTGGAGACTTCGACATCGGAGGCGACCCGATTCCAATCGACCTATCATGTTCAGATAAGATTAAATCAATCTTCAGTTAATAGTTGGGTAATAAACTGACCGACTTCAGGTCCAATTGCTTGATGATTGTGTAGAGAAACTTTGCAGTGGGAGTGTCAGTCTCTAAAACTTTATGCCGCTGACCCATGGTTGAAAAAATGGTCTCGGTGACAGAACGATAAAAATGAGGTTGTGAGGACACTGGGAGGATTCATGAACAGTTTAGACCGGCTATATAACTGGTATAGAATGAAAAAGGATCATTGGGACATGAGAATTGTTTGCCAGCCACATCAATGCTTGCTTTGTACTTTGCAAATGTAGGAGACAATAATACCTGTAGGAATCGCATGCCTCCAGGTATGGGTATAGCAATCTAGTTTGCGTTATTCAACCCCCAATTCGTCCTGCAGTATCCCGCCTACTTCTTTATACCTGCACTTCAATGAAACTTGATGTTTACAGTCTTTTCTTTATGGCTTCTTAGAAAGCATGCGAAGACAAATAGATACCTACTTCCAAGGTTAGGTCGTTGTATTAAGCAAGGGGCACGTGCGCTCTTTCTCATGAGCACGTGATGCGTATTACCCTAGTCCGCGACTAATCTTCTCAGTGGCAAGAAGAGGATTGCTAGTCTATTTTAGATACTGACTACATGAAATTATTTCCTGTCTTGTGTACTAAAGTTTCACACTCTTTGATTCATTGTGGACCTTATGTGGTATGTACTGCAAAACTAAGAAATGGCTTTTTATGCCAAGACAAACACAATTGTACCACACGAGTGGGCTTAATGACAAGCTGACTAATTTAACCCCACCCGTGGACCTAACCTTAGAAAGCAGCGGTTATCCTCGACTCGATCAACTATATTCATTAGATAGACGATCAATCGACACGAATACTAACTCCTCTTTCCGGGATACGGAGATATATTCTCGCCGAATTTATCATTATGGCTTTAGTGGCTATAGGGGTGTGCTACCTTGACACAATTCTAACGTGAGTTCTTTCCGCTGTCTTGAAATTGGCATTTAAAAAGTCTAGTATTCACATGCTTTGGTAGAGCCCCCTATTACCCAAATGAAGATGAGAAACTACGTGCAACCAAGATCAGTCACCGGCGCGGTGGGAATTGTCCAAACACTCTGGAAGTTTTGAGTCAATTGTTACAATACAGGCCGTCGAGTGCCGAATCATCTTTAAATCTCATCGCTGTCCTTCCCTTCAAATCATCCATGGCATCTCAACAAATTCAATCAAGCCTAGGGAATGGGGTTTGGCTAGATAAATGCATTTACCGAGAGTCGTTCAGTGAGCCAGCTTCTAGTTACATCATTACGAGCCAGGCCACCGGTAGTAGGACGATTGTCAATTACAACGAGCTACCCGAAATGACCCACCCTGAGTTCGCAGCTGCTGTTGAGCCCTTACATGCCGTAACTGATCGACCCTGGTTTCATTTTGAGGTACCTTAAATGTTGACGAGGTGCTCAACTAGTCATGAATCATGCTAACTCGCACTCAGGGCCGTGCACCAGATGTAACATTGGAATGTATTCATTATATTCGGATGCATTTTCTAGAGGCTAAAATCAGTGTTGAGATTGAAAAGCCAGGTCGTCCAGGCTTGCAGGAGCTTGCAGACGCAGCAGACGTTGTTATCTACTCGAAGGGCTGGGCCCAGGTAAGATTTATTTTCGACATTTTTCAAGCACATCTAATAGCTGAGCAGAAAAATGGATATACATGCGCTGAGGATTGCTTGCGGGATCAATCATTGAAGACAAGCCGAGCGTAGGCTTTACTGTCCAAGTCCCCAGAGAAATAATCTAACCTGTCGTTTAAAGATCCTTGCTGTGCTGTACTTGGGGTCATGACGGGGCTGCAGCACTTGAACCAAATACCGGCAAATTTGCTCATGTCCCAGCACATACTGAGGAAATGGGAGTCGTCGAGTGAGTTTTGACCTTTCCGATATACTACATCACAAATCAGGCCATACTGATAGTCTATAGCACCATAGGAGCTGGAGATACATTTAATGCTGGCTTGCTATACGGTCTCGTATATCGGGATCATGATTGGAATTTCCGAAAGAGATTGGAATTTGCAAATCTCATTGCCGGCTTGAAGGTCACGCAAGAGGGCTTTGCAAACCTGCAAAGAGCGTTGAACTTTCCGTCATACTAAAATCTCGTCAGCTCTCCAAATTGTCCAATTCAAAGTCAATTTGGTTAGCCAGGACACAATTCTGCCACTTATTGTATCAATCTTTAGGAAACAAATGGCTGTCATCTAGAGTAGTTTAACGCTCTGTTGTCGGATCAATTTAGACAAGAAATATATATTTTTCGCCCCGTTGAATTTTAGCCTACCTTTTGGAGTGACATTAGGCAAACAAATCGTAAGGTGGCCAGTATGAAAGGCTACGTATGTATGCAACTATGTAGGTAGCAACTAGATCAAAGCAAGGTTGTGTACGGAGTAATTAGGGGTGACGATGAAAAGGCCACGACTGTGCGTGGCTTTTGGAGGGAGATCGTGGCCCTTTCACCTAGCTTCGGACACCACGACGACAGCCAAATTAGGCTTAGCGTAACTTTCATTAATATGCACAAGTACGCCCATGTAAAATCGAGTCTACAGGTCGGCTCACCCTTCTTCCCGAGGGTCACATGATAGGGACCTTAGCTCACCCTTCCCCACCTCCCTTCTCTTAATCTTGCACACCTATATACGAGTAGAGCCACTCAAAATTTCTCGCGATCTAATATCACTACCGTATACGCAACCCTTGAAGGCCTTATGCAGACTCGTAATATACTTAAAACTAGTTCAAAACCGGTTTGTAACTAGCTTCAGAGTACTTAGTATAGGACGCGAACTTGAGAATGTCAAGGAATAGGTGCGTGACATGTACTTTAAAAGTTGTACTAGGGCTCTTTACTATTTAGCTATTGCCTCTCGCTACACACAGATTATCGTGTATTTATCTCTTTTATATTCACGATAGAACCAATTCATCATCAAGATACTGCCTGACTGGCCAATAGTGTAATAGCTTACTGTAACAGTATCTCCCTAAGCTAGTTCGTGGGGTTGTTTGTTGAAAAGCTCTTATATACCTAATCGGGACTAGCCCCATAAATTACCCCACTTTATAAAGCTTGGCGCTCCGCTAGCATGAAATTGGAATAGTATAGTTATTCGTTGCTCTTTCCTTTCCCTTCCGCGTCCTCCCACCTAAGTTGAACTCGTTGGCTGAAACTGCGCATACTTTCAAACTGCGCTGCTCTACCTTCGTCCCCATATCGCTAGAGGTACCTGCTCGCAAGAATCATCATGACACTTCCTTCGAGACCGAGTGACTTTGATGCCCGATTCCTCCGCCGCCTGGTAGGGACTAAGGTCACTACCTTTTCTGACTTCGACCCCCTGCAACAGCCGTTTGCTGTCTCTTCCTCCGCATCTGCCGTCTCTACCTCCACGTCTGCCATCTCTCCCTCTGCGGCCCCCCCCTCCTGGGGTCTCCCCTCCAGCGGCCTCGCCCCCTTCTGAAGCCTCGTCCCCTCCGGCCTCGCTTACTACGGCCCCCTCCGCTACGGCCCCTACCATTTCCTTCACGGGTTCGCCCCCCCCAGCGATCGGCCGCTCGTGGATCATCACAGAAAAGCTCTCGGAGAGGGCTATTCATCTCACACAGGAAGATGTCGACATGGGCGTTGGGTCTCCTATGACAGTTGGCAAATTTCTGTGCCACCTCCAGGAGGACCCGACACAGATGGCGTTTATGCGAATATATTATCAGATTCCTATCACTGGGACGGAGGACGCTAGTCTGGCTACACTAGCCCGACAAATCCAACCTTATGAGGTGTGTGGTGAACTAGAAGCGTTTAAGCTATTGATGAGTCAAGGCTGTAGCTCTGTTCCACGCTTCCTTGGTTACTGCGAAAAAACGCAAGGGGATCATGATCTCGTTCCTGGTGGCTATGTCAAATACCTCGTATGGGAAAAGGTGCCTGGGGAGCCTCTTACAGAGGAATTTTTCTGGAGCTTGGATCCCCTTGTACGAGAGGATATCCGTGCCAAATTTCGTGTTGCCTTTGAGTCAGTTTACGCAAACCCAAGGTGGCAGACAGACAAAACGCTAACACAATTCACAGAGAGATGCTGCGTTGTGGTGTAAAACCACAGGAGTCTAGAATCTCGAAGATCATCTATGATCAGTCCACTGGTAATGTGTACGTCAAGGATTCTACATATATTGAGAATATTTACTAATGAGTTCAGTCGCATTTCGGGGTTTCGAAGGGGATGGCCAATCCGTGATAAACTTCAATGGTCAGACACCCGTTATGTCGCTTACATACTTGCTAAGCGACCCGACGAGAGGGACTGGCGTTCTCGCCCGGAGAAATGGGAGTTATGAAAGGTTAACAATCTTGCAGTTATTTTGTATTAGAATGAGTTTAAATCACTACTCTCCGTCAAAAGTGTTACGAGTGAAGGTTTCATTTATGTTTGGGTATTGTGGTTCCTACCTAAAAAATTCTAACCTATATAACAGCAGCTAGTGCGCGCTCGGCATATACTACGTTGCCACCGATATTAATGCTGTGCGCGAGTACACCCGCCCTATATACCTCTACTTTAAGAGTAACTGTAAGACGGGCGTAATATACTTATATATTATCACAGAAGGTAACCTAGGTATACTAGCTACCGACGGCCATAACGACTATATAGGTAGTAAGGATCCCGGCGAGGGCGAGGAGGCCGATGACCTATATACCATTATATACGCGTGCTGTCTTATGACCAGCCGCCTCGAGTTTACCGTCGACAGTAATAGGCTTCAAAATGTATCTTTGCTAGGTAATGGTATCATTTGAGTCTTCGACAATGATAATGGGGCCAATCTCCTCGGCCGTGACAGACTGCCAGGAAGGGTCTCCGGGGATTTCAGGATACTTGTCAGAGCGGTCGAACTCTTTGGCATCTTCACAATGCTGAAGTAGTATCTCCTGCTGCTGGCCGTCAATAATTGCACTAAAACTCATTAAATCCTTGAAGAGCTTACGCTGCTTCGGGGCTCATGTTGATGCCAATATCAAGTGAGACATTGTCCCAGTTTATCTATAGCAGCCAGCACGTTAGCAGGTATATTGGATTGTAGGGACAGATTGTGAACATGGAGACATTGTGCCAAAACTGAATTGGATGCTACGTACCTTTCCCTTCAGGGAATTCTCGACACAAGTCAGAAGGAAGGCGATGGCCTGTTCCTCGGGCGTATTAACGGAAGTCATTCTAGTAAGATGATGAAGCTGAGTCGGACGTTGTTCGATGTAAAGAACCACGTGATGCTAGAAGTTGAATATGTAGGATGTGAGAGGAGCGATGGAGCTAAGGACCTCCAGTTGTCTTCAGATAGCCATTCAACGCGCATTTTGCTTGATCTGCTTTCAGCTGACAGGTGTTGGCTCCTCCCTTAAAATAACGTCACTCATTTTGCCTACATACAGCTTTGGACAACAAGAACAATCTGTGATGTTCAATATTATAAAAGATGACATGGTTATACTATCTTACCAAGTAGGGTGACAAAAGCACCCTGATTGGCCTCTCCTAAGCATACTTTTGAAGAAAATTTTGATATCTTTTATATTTCTAAGAGAATAATAATGATATGAAGCCAGACACCTTCAAGCCAAGCAGTCAAAATTCATATCTATATCTCTTGGTAAGGCATGCATTACCCATGGTGTGACTCAACATAGGGAACGGGTACAGAGGTAACGAATGTCATTCATAAAGTCAAACAAACAGTAGGATTGAACTTATCAAAGGGGTATCCTTCCAAATAAACAGAAAAAAAGCTGCAAAGTGCATATCAAAAGTGCATATCACATCACAAATGGGTAAAGACAGCTAATATCTTGACATAAATCTAAGAGAGATCTTCGTTGAGAAGCGTTATATGTCTGCCATGACAGATTCCACGATCTTTCGCTTGTATTGCGACAAAGCCTGGTCCTTTCTGTGCATCTGAGCACGGAGTCTTGTGTAACGCTGCTTCCATGTTGCCTCGGAAACAGGATGACTAGAATCATCATCGTCAAAATCCAGGTTTGCCGTCTTATCATTGTCAATATTCTCATTACTCGGGCCCATAATCACATTTGCATGGTCAGGTGAATCCTTCCTTCCCAGACTAGGATTGGTTTTTGCGAGCGTGATTTGCATCGAAAACTGGCTTGAAGTTTTGTACTCATGGAAGACGGTATAGCGGATATCACTGAATGATTCTTTAGTGGCAGGGGCATTCCTATCTTCATCGCTGCTTGAGGTCGCACGTTCAACCTTGATAACCAGTGACCCTGGATTAGTGCCTGCGAGTCCGAAATGATGACCAACACCAAGATGTAAGGCTAGTAGCAGCGAAGGAGTCCCAAGGTAAAACTGTGAATATAATGAAGACAAATTGATCACCATCTCCGAAGCCAGGGCAGCCGCCTCGTTAGGAGCAAGAGTAGCCGTCTGCCCTGTCAGCCTAGCACGAAGAAGCTCGGCAGAAAGTGCATGAACAACCTCATCAATGGAGGGATCCGGAGTAATGACCGCATTTCTTTGCCCACCAGAAGAAGATGTTTGAGTAGTGATACCATTTTTTGTGGTATCTGTGGTAAGATGTTGGCGGGGCTCATTGGACCCTTCAGACCCGGGAACGACAGCACCATTCACACCATTGACTACTAGTCTCGGTGGAGAGGCAAGTCTAACAGGCGCCCCTGAATGTTGAGGAACCTGCAATTGAAGTCTATTGGGCCTCCCCTGAGAGATAGATGTTGGAGGATTATTGTGAGTTGGGGCCTGAAATATTTGGGGCGGATTTCTGTCAAGGGCAAGTGAAGGAGCCTGAGTATTAGGGTTGGGTGCCTGCGATGATTCCCGGCTAGGATTGACCTGGAATGTAGAAAAGGAACCCGATGATGACCCTTTATTTGGTGGCCTTCCTCGGCCTTTCCCGGCTGATAATCCGTTGCTATTCGGCCAAGCAGACGAAACTGCAGGGCCATGTCGTCTTCTGGAACGGGTTTTTTCACCCGTTGACGGAGTAACTGCGGACCGTGGTTCCGCAGACTTGAGTACATCTGATGGCAGATGACTTCGGGGAATGATAGCAGACTGTGGATAACTAGCAGGAGAGGCATCCCGTTCAGGATGTCTCCAGCGTATATCTGGATTTTGCTGGTCCGGCCTTGAACCATTCGGAAACGATGAGGTCGCCGGTATCCAGGGGTCATTGGATTCAGCATCATCAGGAAATGCACTGAATGGAATCGCACTCTGTGGGAATGCCACGGAGTGGGACTGAAAACTACCCTGCTGCTGGGCGCCCACAGATGTATCCAACTGGGGCCGCTTGATTGCTCTATCTTCCTCGGTGTACCTATCCTCGACCCTTTTCCTTCCCCGCTTTGGCTTCCACTGTGGCACAAGTGCCCTGAGTGCAAGATCCTCTTCCAATAACACACCATCGCGAGATTCGCTAACAAAAGGACCAGATGGTGGGAGCTGTGTATAGTAAGAATGGGGCAGTCCCATACAATATTCAAAGAAAGCATCAATATGCATAGCACGCATCCATCGCTGGGCGAGATTAGCAAGATGAAATTTGGGTTGGAAGCTTGGCAGACGTACTTTGAGGCGAACAGTGTACTGTTGCACCTTCTGGGTGCTTTGTTTCTTTTCAAGGCAAGGTGGTTCAACACCCAACTCAATTGCTAATTGAATCCATGTCTTCAACTCTTCATTCTGCAGCCGCCTTCGAATGAGGCCGAATAGGGTAAAGATGTTGAAGCTTTTTCCATCACTGCGCGGCAGACACCGGAAGGTCTTTCTCAGATCTGATGTGTCAACCGAGGATGGAACATTAGGATTGCAGTACAAGATAAATGAAACATAGGCGTCATCAATCGTTTCGTCAGTAATATCCCGTGACGGAAGAGCTCGGGAATCTGCGTGATCGGCAGAATCTTTCATAGGCTGATGGCGACGAGGATCAAAAACTGGCGGAGACATGGAGGCCCCGGAGCGATTGGCCGATGATGGGGGTATAGCAGAATGCATGCCCCTCGGGGAAGACTGTAAGCTCCTGGGGGTTTCTCTTCGCTGTAAGGGAGGCGATTTGTTGATATCTATTTGACTACGAGAACTTCCCAAGGAGGAAGCACTCTGCAACGTCGATTCCAAGGTCGGAGGATATCGCGCATATTGTTGAATGACCATTTGCGGTCTGCCGAGCTCACCACGGTTGGAGCGATCGGTAGAGTCCATCATGAGAGGAAATGATGTTTTCATCTGAATCTTGGCGACTCGGAGTGACAGACCTCTATGTTTAATTGTAGAATAGAGCTAGACACGCGATGCAGGCAAATAATCATGCGGATCCTATGTCGCATAGGCAAGCCGTCATTATCGTCAAATCAGGAACCGCAGCATAGATGTAGGCTATCTTCAACACAAAATGATTGGTGAATGAATACAAAGAGAGAGTGAAGAGAATCTGATTCTGAACAGCAATGCGCCGATGGTGTAGGGTTCCAGGAGGTTTCCCCTCGAGGTGGCTGGAAGCGCCCATCTTTAAAGCTCAAGCTGAGAATCTATTTTGGGGCCATCTAGTGCTCCCTAATGAGGACTAGTGTTGTGGCCTGAGGGCGGGGTTCATGCCTGGATATCACGTGTAAACTAATCCTAATTGGGGTTAGCGCCAATTGGCACCTACCAGGTGTTATCGATAAGCTTGTCGTCTTGGCATTCTTCCAAGGTTGGCCTCTTCGACCTCATCCGTCCGGACTCCCCCGGACTGTGGCAAGGTTCAATTTGAATGACAATTGTTTCAGACTTTTCGCGCCACAGGCCCAGAAATATTCATCTCCGGTTTGTTGTTGGGCGCGCGACGTGCGTACAATGTCGCTCGGGTCTCTGCTACCCACTCTCTTATCCTAGCGCGACCTTATCCGTCATGGCGCCGCCCTCGAGTTCGCGCTCGAGGTCCACTCGCCCTACGCGGTCCAGCCGCACAAAGGTGCAGACCTACCACGAGGAAAGCTCCTCTCAGGATGAATCGGAAGGTTTACGTAGCTCAAGGCGTGCCTCGTTATCTCTTCGCTCGCGAATGCCAAAATCCTATCGTGAAGATTCAACGGATGATAGCTTTGATGAAGCTGTGGAAGACCAGGAGTCCGAAGCATCGGTATCTGCGTCGATCGACACCCCAAATCCGAACACCGAATCTGTGCCTACTCGCCCTTCCAAACTCAAACGTCCTCGACGCGCTGCGACCACCTCGAAGCCAAAGCAGACTAAACGATCGAAACCCAGCAGTCAAGTTGGGAGAGCCTTGCATAAACGTGCTAAGGCAGATGAGGATGACCCGATCTTTCTGGGATCCGGTGTCATTCCTCCTTGGCAAACTCTCCCCTACCAAATCCTTCTTGACATTTTCTTGCGCGCGTCGCATCCATTACTCGACGAAAGTCGTTCCGCCCGCAATGACTCTGCCAAGTGGCTAGTCAATGTCGCTCTACTATGTCGAAGCTTTCACGAACCTGCGCTAGCTGCACTCTATCACTGCCCCCCTCTGCTTCCTGCCTACAAGAGCCATGTGCTCCTCTCTTTGCTGGCACTCCCGCAAGAGTCCCTCTCGATGAATTACTCTAGCAAGATCAAGCAACTCCATGTTGAGGTTGAACCAGTGCTCCTCTATAAAAGTGGACCCTACGGATACCTCGACCTTGCTCAGCTGATTGAAAAGACACCTCGTTTACACACGGTAAGACTGTATCACAAAGATGATTACACAGTGGGAATACCCCCATGGCACATTGCTCAATCAAAGTGGACTTATCCAGACGCCATCTTTTCCGCCATCGAGATCCGTGGCATTACCCTTCGTAACTGGGACTGGAACAGTCGCTTTTTAGAAACCGATGAGCTTGTCAAATTGATGGTGAGAATGCACTCGCTGCGTGCCTTCCAGGGTCTCAGGCAGCTGAAGTTGCTCCACTTCGACAATTCCAACGAGGAAACCTCCGCTGCCAAGGAGGCTGCTCTTCTTGAAGCCCTTGATATGCTTCCAGAGCTTCAGCGACTGGATTTTATTGAAAGCTCATTGGTCAGCGGGGAAATCCTGACCAACCTACCAAATACACTCCGTTCGCTCACTCTGAACAACTGTGATCGATTGTGGTCATCAGATCTAACAGCCTATTTGTCCTTGCATGGCACCAATCTCCGGGAGCTCAGTCTCAGCCACAATCGCCATCTCAACATGTCTTTCATCCAAACTTTGGCTCAGTGCTGTGAGAGCCTCGAAGTTTTCAAAATGGACCTTTCTATGCATGATGCGTCTAGCTATCACGATGTCGAGCCACACTTCGAAGATCTACTCGTCGAAACCGAAGTTCCCACGTGGCCAGTGAAGCTTCAAGAAATCGAGCTCACTCAGTTACGCAAATGGGACGACGCTACTGCGGAGGTCTTTTTCACCTCGTTGGTAAACGCGGCACCGCAACTTCGTGATCTACGTCGATTGGTCATAAGTGCAATCCTGAAGATTGGTTGGCGTGACCGTGCCACTTTTCGCGAGCGGTGGATCGGTATGCTCGAGAAGGTTTTCCTGCGACACAGCATGCCGCCAGACCCCAACCTCCGCTCCCTTCAGAAGCGCTCGCTCAAACCCACCACATTCATCACAGCGAATGACACCGATGAACTTGATGCTGGAGTTGATGATCCACGGCCGTCCACGGCTGATGGTGGCCCATCCACTTCCTCTAAACGCCAAAGCACTCGGCTGGCACATCAGAAGTTCAACATAATTGACGATGCTGCTAGCAGTTCTTCATTGGTGCAGCCTGAAACTAGGAAGATACAGGGAATGTGCGATATTGTTAACATTCGGATCGACAACCAGCGACCGACCGAACTGCAATTCAACGAGAATGATTTTCTTGACGATGAACTCAGTGGCGACGAGGACTGGGCTGGCGATGACTTCTAGCCAATCCTGGAGAGTTCGGGTAACAAGCTATGGCGAAGTCCCAACCACAGTACCTTTCTTTGTATTTATAGCTATGTCGTCTCTCGGAGCTGTATTATGACCCTAGACGAACAGGTTCTTTTTTTTTTATGCCGATATGTTTCTGGGATCTGGCGCTGGGGTTTCTTATTCATTTGGGGGGGGGGGTAAACAGGAGCTACTATTCGATACTTTCTTTACAATTAATACCTAGCGATTTATGCGACTAAGTATTTGGTGCGGAATACATGATCTTGCTTGACCATAGGCATACAACATGTCGTAGCAGTTGCGTTTATGCGTTGTTCACTCGGTCTGTGCACGGCGATCCAAAGCCAAGCCCCACGAGATCGTCTTATCGGCGAGTCTCGTTGAACCTCACCTTACATCTGTTTATTCCCACGTCTTTGTTTTCTGTATAATTACATTTTATCCGTTCAAATTCAGAATTTGCATGTCTTGTGCTTTTCCTTTCGACATTCTGACATCGGCTGGATCCTGTTAGGTCCAAGATGGCGCCTGAGGCCCCTGCGGACACCGCAGGCCCATCCTCCCCACCACCCCAACTTCCAGAAGGCTGGTAAGTCAACCCCAAAAGTCAAAGAACCTTCCAGCTGTATTCTAACAATCATATCGGATAGGCTCCCTCAATGGGAAGGTGTCGGACGGAAATGGTATTACGTACAGCGGACGACTGGGAAGTCGCAATGGGAGATTCCGACCGAACCGATCTTTTTGACCCCGTCAACAACACCGACGCCGAGCGGGGCAGGGCTATCGCAGGAGCCAAAATCGTATCCGACAAGCAACAATACTCGAGAGTTGGAGTCCACGGACAGAATGGCGGGCGAGATGTACTCTGCGGCCGACAGTGCGAAAATTTCCGTAGGGAATCGCGCTCATTATGTCTGCGTAAGCATTGCAAGAATGGCACTGATGGTGGGATAGAACTCCCTTGGCTCCCAGATATATGGGCAGTCGGAAAATCCAACTTATGGGTCTTCCGGGGTACCGGGTTGGTATTCGAATCAGACGGGTCAACACTTGCCCGGCGGATATGAGCAGCAGATGGCTGCAAACGCAGCCGGATATGGCCCGGTATGTTCAAATACTCGCGTCATACATTGATTGGCCGTGGTACTGATTTGCCTCTAGAATCCGTTACACCAGGGTCCTGTTGGACATTTGAATGGTGTTCAGCCGGCGTTCTATGGGAGCCAGACACATCCAGGTTATCAAATCACGGGTCCACACCACATAGGCCAAAGTATCTCCTCATCAATGTGGGGTAATAATTCAGGTACCTATCAGGGAAACCCAGGCAGTTATAACATGACACAACATGCACAATCCTTCCAAGGATTCTCTGCTGATCCTGTTGGATTGCATAACCACCAGCCACCAGCATCCTGGGCAATAACCAGCAATCCACAGGGGGAAATGGCAAGGTCAATGGGCGGAGCTTCCGATTCCCAACCACAGTGGCAATTGGAACCACAGCAAGGTCATTTGAATGGCTCTGGTGAGGGTGTCCCGATGAACCTACACCCATCAAACATGCCTAAGCCCTTCTTTGGGTCTTACTCATCGAACCAGCATGCGGACCCGTCTTCCAGAGAATTCGCTCGTCGTGTCTCGAATCCTTCTCTTGTTCAGGAAGGCCAACCCTACCAAACTTCCGCGGAGAACTTCCACAACCATTCACCGCACTCCATGGTTGAACAAGGTAGATTCGGACAAGGCGAGGACCCACGTTCCCATTCACAGCGTACTACGTCGGACCCTGCTTTGCAGGGATTCTCACCGCTGCAACATGTACAGAGTCAATATCAACAGCAGCACATGATACGAAAACAGTCAGGACCACACCAAGTCAATATTGCTCAAGGCCATCAGCAATATCAAAATCCAATCGCGCAAGTCGGTGCCAACCAATACGTTTCGCAGCATCAATTTGGTCCCAACGGCGGGCCGACGGGTTTCCCTGAAACAACGCATGTTCAGCAAGTCCCTTATCACCAGTCGAGTCATTATCCCGAGCATATTGAACATTCACCCGGGGAGACAAGAAGAGGTTCAGAGTCACACTTTGTCAGTGGGCCGTGGACCTCCACGCCGCCTTCTACTGGACAGTACTAGGCAACAATTTGTTGTTCACGTTCATTATTATGGTCAACGGGAACAAAGGATATAATTTCTTTTTTTGAGCGGTTTCTATGGACATGTCTATCTTCTGCGCTGTTTGTGTTTCAGTATAGATTCCCCAGTCGATATAATTCGTTGCTTCAATTGAGTTTTGTGCCAAACAACATTCCGTCTAGCTACTACAAATTCCCGTGCCTGAACACATTACAGCTGCAAGCAGTATGCAATCAGGTATTAGGGGAATTCTTGAACCTGGAAGTATAGCGACCTACATAATATCAGAAACATCATGTAATCCACGTCCTGGGATAGAACCCAATAAGTACATAGCATGAGGTTCAAGTCACAGATTTCATCTTGATATTACAAAGGTCATTAGTGCTCGCGCGGAATAAATCTCACAAACGACATGTGAGGAAGATTTTCATTGTTCTGTTTATCTCTACCACTTTTTCTTTCTACGACATCACCATTATCTCCTGGTCGCAATCATCCCCCTTCGACCCCACGAGCTTCTTCTATCACAATGGCTAGTACCTGGGATCACGAAAGAGACAAGAAGGTAAGTTTGCTCTTTTCAGGGGGTCAGCAGCGACACCCCCCGAGATACAAGTTCCCAGCATTGGCAAGGTCTCGTATCAATAGCTGATAATTGATAGTTGCTTTTAGCCATTATGGCCGTTCATTCTCCGCTGGATTATGCCGCAATTGCTAAAGCGATGGGACAGGGTAAGTATATACTTGAGGACTATATACACTGAAGCCACAATTCCCACCCTACCCTTTATCCTACATGACCATTATATGAACTCATCTGACGAAGTACAGGCGACAGCACTGCCGCTGTGAAGAAGCACGTCTACACTCTGAAAGCCCAGCGAGCAATCTCCGCACAATCTCTTGCCAAGGCCAAGACCGACAAGCCCACTGACTGTGGCGACAAGGGTACCAAAACCACCACCAAGCGCAAGATTGACTCGCCCACAATGTCTGAAGATAACTCCATTGTCGAGAACCAGGACGAGGATGGGTTTGAATCCAGCTCCAGCCCCAACAAGCAGCGCAAGCTCTAAGAACTTCCGCTTCTTGGGCCTGGCATTCATTGGGAAGTAATGACTTACATTCTGATTTTTATGGAGCGTTTTCTGCCGCATAGCGAGGAAAGAAATTTTCGGCCTTTAGTCTAGGGCTCTTAGGTACTTGTTATCTACGATATCCTTGACTTGAAACACAGCACCTTTTTCATTAATATCCCTTTCCAAGAAAGACGTAGATTCACTTCGTCGCAGTAGCCCCCGAGGCCTTTTCAATATAGAAGGTACTAAGTATCTACTGTAGTAGGGAAAGTCGGGATGCCTAGTTTAGCGGCCTTGTCCCTCAGGCAGAGAAAACGAAAGCCTGGTTGTGAAGTAGAGTCTTAGGGAGCAGATAGTCTAGAAGGAGTATCACCCCTAAAATGAAAAACGAGTTGCGAGATATTTGTGCGCTAGGAGATTGTATACTATGGTGTGGTCTACGTGATCCCTATGCTTACTAGCTAATTGTCCTAGATGGTTGGTATTATTGTATTGTCCTCGTCTTACCTATATGGCTAGGCTGCCTATTATACATTTCCTTCTTTATAATAGCTTCCCTAGGAAGGTACTTTAATCATAAGACTAAGAGTGATAGTGAGAATAAGTAGGGATCGCATTTAACCCCTAAAAACATAACTATAAGAGATTTTCTACTACCGGAATATACCTACTTTCTATAGGTAATAATATCTAATTAGTATACCGGTAAGGCTGTATACCTAAGAGAGATACTACAGATAAGCGATAGTAAGCTAAATAAGCTAGCAGAATATAATATTCTAGGTATCCAATAGCTATAGTATTTAATAGTATAGACAATTTTACTATTAATAATAGTTAAGTATATAATTTTAAATAAAGAAGAGCGATTTAATAAAGAAAAGAGAGAAACGACGAAAGAAAGGAATTATACTAGTATTAGTTTACTAGTACTAGTCCCTAAAGAAGAATAATACCCTATATAAATATATACCGATTACTTAGAAGCGAATTTAGTATACTATAGCCGATTATAATACCCTACTATTCCTAAGATAAGAAGGAGACCTATCTCCCTAGGTTTATTATTATTATTAATAATAAGCTTCTACCTTAATTTATTAGATATAGCTTTATTAGAAGGATCTGATTAGTCAGAGGTAATATCTATTATTTCTATAGAAAAGCTAACCCTATATAAAAAGACTAGGATATCTAAAAGACTACTAGATAAAGAAAGTAGGAACTATAATAAGGAGCTCTAGTAGTTTTATAAGTTTAGGGATCCTATACCGGAAATACTAATCTCTAAGATTATAGAGGAAGAAATAAGGGAAAGAAGGGGAGAATAGGTCTAGTATACTATAGTATAAATACTAATAATTATACTAATAGCTACCCTAACTACTATTCCCTATATAATTCAGGGACTACTATTCTTAGTACTCCCTATACTAGGTTCCCTAGGCGTACCTTTCTTTAATAAAGTTAATATATCGGAGTTCCTAAGGAAGCTTTAGGATACTTACTACTACTATAGTATTAAGAATAAAGGTAATATTCTTAATATCCTCCTATAGTACTATATAAAGGTACTAAGGTCCTAGGTTAAAAAGTAGATAATATAAAAAAGGAAAGACTAAGATAGCTTTATAGAGGATTTTCTTAAGTACTACTATAATAATAATAGGGAGTAGTAATAGTATATAAAGGAATACCTTAATTAGCTTATTTATATAAAACGCACTATAATAGATAATATCTAAGTATACCTAAATAAATTTAATAAGATCTCTGATTATCTCTATAATAAAGGAGAGCTAGGAGATATAGAAAGGGTAGATCTTTTTATCTAAGGACTACCTATAGACCTCTAGACTAAGGTTATCCGCTAGTATATATAAAGGGAACTACTAAGGTTATAGTAGATTAACTACTTAGAGGCTCTCGAGAAAGTTAGAGGAATTATATAAGAATAGATAGAACTAAGACAGTACTTCTATAAATAAGATAATATTACCTTAGACTTAGTACTAAACAGAGAACTAATATCTAAGAGTACCTACCTTATAAAAATTATATAGCCTAGCGAAAACTAGGACTATTAGTAAGATACCTAAGACTAGAGACTAGAAGAAATATAGGTATAAATAGAAGCCCTTAGCCTAAGAGTATAGGCTAGCTAAGATAGTAGGAATAACCCCTACTATAAGCTAAATAGGGCTAGGCCTATAAATAGATTAGGAGTTAACAGAATATATAAGTACTTTACCTATAAAGGACTATATATATCCTACCCTATAGAATATAATATTCTTAGGGAAATAATAGAGAGAGGAATAATCTACTATAACTAGATAGATAGGATAACGCTAGGTACCTTTAAGAACCCTAGCCTAATAGTATAGTTTATTCCTAGTATCCTAAATTAGTAAAGTATTAAGGTATAATATAACCACTAGTAAGAGAGATAATAAAGATATAGTACCGGTATAGGGGGGTAGGTAAAGGTTAGCTAGATTTAGACTAGGGCTATAGAGGCTATAGGTACCTTAGTAGTAGACCTAAATAGAATCCCTAGCTATCCTATATACTATTCTATAATATCTTAATCTATAGGCACAGCCCTACTAGGATTATAACCTATATAGGAAAAGCTAGAAGATAATAATCTAAACCTTAATATACTAACTAGGATAGTAAATACTATAGAAAGGAGGACTACGAAAAGATAAAGAGATTAAGATATTACCTAGACTAGAAACCTATAAATAGGATAGTATTAATCCTAACTTCTAAGTTAAGGAGGTTATAGATAAGGAAGTGATATAGGATACTATACCGGAGGATACCTAGACCTAGTAGCTATCTAAAGAAATTAATATTTCCTAGATTACCTAGAGACTATAAGGACCGATAGTACCTAAGGTTATACAGAAGAGGTCTTAGCTATCCGATATTATTATAAGAAAAGTATAGGATACAGAGATTATACTTACTATTAGTAAGCTCGCTAGCGCTATATCTAAGATCTAAGTAGGAATAGGGAAAGGGGTAAATATAGATTTTATTAACTAGCGACTAACTAAGGTCCTATCCTATATATAAGCGAATATTAATATTATAAACCTTCCCTAGGTAATAGAAGAAGAGATTAATAGTATAGTCTAGGATATTGCCTAGTACTATACTATAATAGGAAGTCTACTTAGGGAATAGGATTTCGTTAGAAAAGTTAATTTCTAGAATACTAAGCTAGCTATTAAAAGGTAGAGACCTACTACTCCTAGAAAGTACTCCTATAGCTTATTAATTATTAAAGTTATAATTAGAAAAATAGTTATTACTACCTATATTAATATAGGATTAGCAGTTAATATAATTAATTAAGTCTATATCTAGAAGATTTCAGTAGAAATAAGGCTAAACCTAAGATTAATATTATTACCTATTAATAGTAGGGAGTTTGTAGTTATAATATATATAGAGGATCTACTAGTTACTATTAGTAATATAGTAACTAAAAGCTATACTATAGTTACTAATAGGAATATAAATCAGCTTCTTCTTAAGAGACTCTAGGTAAAAGACGCGCTATTATAGACCTTAGAATATAAAGGAGATTAGGTTATTTACCAGATTTTTAATAGAGATAGAATAAAGAGTACTACTTTCTAGGCCTATTATCTAAGAGATAGGGATTTATTATATAAGGACTAGCTCTAGCCTAAGGATTTCCTAATAACTATATCTTTAAAAGGTAGGATAGGCTTATAACTACTATAGTAGGTCCTATATCTATTATAATAATAGCAGTAAAGCTTAGTAGAGAAATAAAAAAGAATAAAAAGTAAAAAATAATTTAAAATAAAGAAAATTAATAAAAAATAGGTCTAGTTTATTTAGGCGGTATTTAAAGGAGGGAGGTTTAGATAACTATAGAAAAGATTCTATTAGGCTATAATAACTTACTACTTTAGTAGCCTAAGAAAGTGTGCCGGTATATAGGGTAGTTATATAATAAGGTTAAGTATAGAATAATATTTAGAATAAATAGTATACTCCCTTATAAGATAGGGTAGTACTATAGGATCTTTAGACCTAGATATAGAAAGTTCTAATAGGTATAGGTTAATACCCTATATAAGAGGAAGGTAGATAAAGTATAGCTAGTAAACTCCTCTAAATCTAATAGCTTAATTCCTATTAGCTATCTAAATTAGTAGGAAGTATATATATAGAAGTACTATATAAGGTTTTATACTATAGATATTCTATCTAAGTTTAATAATCTTCTAAAACTATAAATATCTATAATTATAAGAGGGATATATTTAATACCTAAGAGAGAAGAGTTACTTTTAGTAGGAAAGGACCTACTACTAAAAGAGAAGGAGCTTCTATAAGAATTACTATTTAAAAGAGAAGGAATACTAGTATAGGAATAGGAATATATTAGGTATATTAGGGATAAGGTAATACCGCTATAATATATTAAAATAGTTCTATATAAGGTATAGTAATACCCTAGATTTAGAATACTAAGGGTATTAATACTAATTATTACTAAGATACTATAAGATTACTTAAGGAAGGGAATCCTTAAACCTTATAATAGACCTTATTAAAACCTATGGTTCCTAGTTAGGAAGAAGTAGGTAGGGAAGTATAGGCTAATTAATACTATAATACTAATTAATAAGGTAATAAAGAGGGATATAAACCTTCCTCTAGATATCGATAAATTTATAGAAGATTTTATAGGAATATCTATATCATCCCTTATAGATCTCTTCTTAGGCTATAATTAGATTATACTATACCCTAAGGATAGAGACCTTACTATAATCTAAATACCTATAGGACTTCTAAGATAGACTATAATCCTATAGGGAGTAGTAAACTTAGTTCCCTAGTTTTAGTATATGATTTTATAGATCCTATATAAGATCTTTAGTATAATTATATAGTCTTTCCTTAATAATATTACTATCTCTAGGGTATAAATAAAATATAAT